GTTGGCAGGGAAATTAGGGAAATAACTATTTGAATGTAAATTGCCTGCCCTCTAGCAGCATTTTTATATGGATTAAGCAAAAATAATTTCCTGTGGTATTTCAAAGATCAAATATTGAGAAGTATATTTATTTGTGTAGACTGTTCACCTACAGGACATCATGCCTTTTTAAAATTTGGTTGTGGAGAACACTGTTTTCATTGATTGTGCTCAGATATGAGCAATGTCAATTTGTTAGGCATCTAATGATTTTGGCATTAGATAATAAAAAATGTTGTGTGCATTAAATCCTAATCTCCTTGAAAAATGCATTTATAAAATACCAGCAGATGTCAGTATGTTCTTGCAATATAGCCCTTTTGTTTTCAAACAATATTTTTTCTTGAATTAAATAATAGGGGAGGTATTTATAAGTACTGTAACATTATCTTAATCTCCATTAAGATTAAGAGTCTAATTCAAATATTTTATCTGAAAGAGGGATTTTTTTTTCTGTTTTCTAGATATGGTTTGTATGCCATCTTTCACTGTTKCTTGCAACTGCTCACCAAACTGCATAAATGTAGTTTAATATACTTGGGCAAGGTGTTGCTGATGGTGTAGTACTATAGTAGTTTCTAATTGAACGTTATTTTTGGTGTTTTATTTTATCTTTCCTTTTTATGACTCTTTTATGGTAGATTTCTGGAGGCCTTTTGGAAATGGCACATATTAAATCTAAATATTATATTTCATTTTGTCACTGTTTATACTGAGTAGTCAAAGCCAGGCGAGATCTCCTCTCCCCATGTGAGCTCAGGCTTCCTGGGGATGTTTTTCCTCCCTGTGTTGTTCCCTGTGCCTTTCACTAAGGATGTCCTGCACCTCTGCTTGTCCTAAGAAAAAAGGTTGCAATAAACCCCGTAGACTCATTCTGCTGATTTTGAATCCTGCTTTTCCTCAGAAGAGGAAAAMCAGATTTTCAGGTGAGGTTACCCAGAGTACTTGGTGCCTGAAACGGGTGGAAATCTGAAGAGGAGAGCTGGACCATTCATGAAGACAAACAGCATTTGCTTAAGCTTCCGTAGGGTAGCTAAGGTACCCTTTTGTCTAGTGCTTTTGCAAACCTGCAGGCATAAAATGTTGTAGCTTCAGGAGCTTTGAATGCAATTTCCAAGCAGAAATTCATTTTATGTTTTCTCCTCCTGCAGCTCAGCTTGCTTTCTTCTCCTTATTAGCTCTGTCATCTTTAAGAGGTTGTTTTACATGCAGGATCTATTTCTGACTTGCTCCTTGTTTCTTCTGAAACTGCATGATTTCCAGATCATGCAAATAAGAATAGAGACGTGCAGGACTGGTAAGAAAGACATTTATCTCTAGAGTAAAGAATGCTTGGCATTACTTAGGTTGTAGCTCTGGGGGAAAAAAGGGCTTTTATTTACAAATAGTGTGTCTTATTCTGCATTTGCTCCAGCTTTCTTTATAGTCATACTGATAGACACCCAAAATCCTGTAAAAGAGCATGTCTAAAATGTGTTCTAAGCAATTTTTTTTTAATAAGAAATACTAACATAATTAGATCAGGTGGTTGGCTTGCATGCCTAGAGAACTACTGTACTCTTGTCATTTCAGTTGGGATAATGTAGAGGTTCTGCTCAGCATTTGAGGTTCTGCTCATGGGAGATTTGGGAATTTCTCTCCCCCTTCCTTCCAAAGTGAAAATACAAAGGAAAAAAAAAAATTGTCCCTAATTGCATTAAAAATGAGTTCCAATCAGTATCCTGTATTGTTCGGACTATTTTCTAGGATGATAATATAAGCATTTTTTCCTAATTAACTTTTATAAATAGTTTGCTAAGTATGCCCTTTTAAAACCTACAAAATACAAATGTAAATTCTCTCTATGTGGCTGTTAATGGTATTCCACGTTGAACTYCAGTTATAAAAAATGGATGCAGTTCCCATCATGCTTTAACACACTTGAAAAACCCTTGTTTCAATAAAATTAATGTTTGACCTGAAAGATATTTACTAATATTTTTATGGCATGGGGAATTTTTATTTATGAAGATGTAGACTTTACATATARAGAAGTGAGTTAAGTGAGCTGGTTTTCTTATGCTAATGTAGACATATGGATCCGAATTTCATATGTGAGCATTTACGTGTGGCTTGCAAAGCTTTTCCATTCAGTCTGTGTGCTGACATATGTACACTGAGAAGAGACAAATGAAACACAGTTGCTCATTTTGTCCATGTAGTTCATGCGAAAAYGTTTGAAAATGTGAAAAAATGGGAACTGGCCATAAAAATGGTGAGCAAGTAACACAATAAAGCTTGAGGATTCATTTCATCCAGTTATGTGTTTAAACTGATTGTAAAAAGTTTTTGAACTTTTATTTATAATTATTTTTCTTGGAATGGAATGTTGAGTGGATTAAAACTTTCGTAGAAGTATGTGCATTTGTGCTTTGTGAAGGAGATTAACAAGAAAATGATACTAAAAAGGATGTAGAGTTGCTGAAAGTACTTTGTTTCTGATAAGCTCTTAGTTAAAGAAGAGTGCAGCTGTAAAAGGCTGTTCTGAATTAATTTTCATTTTCTTGCGAGTATTTACAAGTCCTCTAATTGTCAGTACTCCAGTACGGTAGAAGGRTCTTTTGTTCTTATACTTTCATAGGGCTTTTACAAAGCTGAGCTTCCTGACTCCAACTGGGATGAAATGAGATGAAGTAGGTGAGGGTGGGGGCTCCAATTTCTAAAAGATTTTGAGCCTGCAAATTTCCAGGAAGATGCCTGCAATTATTATGCACTTACATCCCTTAAAACTTGGTAGTTTATATAAATCTAAATTCCCAAATGAACTAAAAAAATTTGAGAACTTGATGTAAGTACATTAAAAATCTGTATGGATATGGTCAACCCTAATACTAAAACTTAAGGAAGTTTAATGTCTTTGCTCTCTATATTGGTTCAAATGGCCTCACTTGGTTAATTTTGGCTCATGGTAGTTACATAAACGGCCCATGCAACTATGCAGAGATCTTCAGGGATACTTTCCACASCCTTGGCACAAGGACCCTAACTTATCCTCAAATCCATGAATGTTTGTTCTTCTGCAATTTGTTTGGGGCAGTCTTCACAACCCACTGAACATGTTTCTAGGAAAGGCTTTTGAAAGTAGACCGTTCATTGAAAGAAAATCACAGAAGGGTTTGCTCATGCAATCAGATCTCTGTAGGCTTCATATTATAGGAGAATAATATGTACAGCTCATGTGCCATTCCTTAAGAATTGTATGGAAAACTTGTCCAAAGGCACAGAATGTCACTTTGACTGTGTTCATTAGACGGACTGATGCTGAATGGCAGAAGGACTTTACAGCCAAAGTGCAAAGAGTGGCAGATGCCTCGATAAAAACGGGCCAGTAACTCACTGGAAAGCAGTCATTTAATATGGTAAGTGGTGAACAGAATTAAAGAACCTAAAAGGARGAATGCAGCTCAAGATACATTGCTCTTCCTGAAAGAGGTGAAAAATGGGATACTCCCAACTGAGGTAAAATGAAGTGTTGTAGAGGTGATGTATAGTAGGAAGATGGAAGTGATAACTCCGCAGGAAGCATTTGTGGAGGTCACACTGCTGGTGCCCGGCAAAAGCACCATGCACCATGAGAGATGGATGCTGAAAGCCTGGCAAACTGTATTCCCAGGTGTTTCCAGCTGAAAAAGTGGAAGAATGCTAGCTTGGAAAAAAAACCACTTATAAAATCCATGATGGCATCTTCAATATAAGGTGATTTGGGAGACAACTTGGAATCCGTAATCTGTTCTTGCTAAATTATGTTATTTCGTGTATGGAGAGCTATTATGGAGTCTTTGGAATAACGCTGGGATTAAGAAATGGCCTAGCAGTGAAACATCTGATTGCAGTTCAGTTTAAAACTTGAATTTCAGCAAAACTGAAGGTAAGGACTTCTTAAATTGTCAGTTCCTTATCCTCCCTAATTCCTGGCAGTTTCCTTTAGCAAAGCTTCCCAGAGCAGCCGGCCTGTTTGTCGCCTCTGCTCCCTTCCCTCCTCTTCCCTTCCCATCTGGTGGTGTGACTCCCCTCTTTCAAGTTGTGCTGGGAATGGGGAAGCAACCAGCTGGGCTTTATATGCATCTGTCAAGATCTCACCTAAAGCTGCCTGTGAGACCTTAAATCCTCTGTCTCCTAAATTGCCTTTCCCTGATCTCCAAATCTTGAGGGTCCAGTACATGTTTTTTTCCTCATCTGGGAAAAAACAACATTGGCAAAAGCACTGTAGGTGCCCCAGCAGTTAGGCAGCAGCACGTGAGCAGTCTGTGTTCAACTGTGCAAGTGCTGCTCAGCGCTGCGCACGTCTTCATCCTGYTGAAAGCCCAGATGTTCACTGCATATTCAGCGGATTTTACCCCAAAAGAAGAGACCATCAAGATAATCCRTAACAGCAAACTCTGAATGCTGCGGCATGAATGAAGTTGCAGCCTAATCACAGATGATTTGGCAGCGCTAACAAGTAACTCCGATTCTCAAATTGCAGGTTCTAGGCTAATGAAGACTGTCTTCTTCCTGAGTGCAGATGCAAGTTTATGCTGTGTCAAAATCCTCTATTTGTTCCAAACAGAATTCCTGATGAGAAGACCTCAAAGTGAAACACTTCGGAAACGCAGAGTTTCACTCCCCCTCTTCTTCATGTAGGAGCTGTTTGGGCTGCACGATGACAGGATGTTCCTCCTGTCCGAGTTGCTCCATAAAGCTCATGGAACAACCACACAGTCTAAGGARTCAGTAGGATAACCCTTGTTTGGAAAAGCCAGGAACCCCAAAAGAGGGTTCCTGGCAGTGATCCAAATAGAGAGGAGCATGTGAAGGCAATACCAGGAGTRATAACACTGCCCTACCACACACCTGGAGCTAGTTCTGTTGTTCACACCAAGATGAAGAAAACCTGCCCCTGTGATCACTGCTGTTCTCTTGGCTGGTTTCATTAGTTGAGGACAAGAGGGAGAGGCAGYAGCATCATGTAGTTATTCTGAAAAGAAACAAACCCTTCTCCACCTAATCTCTTAAGCAGTTGTTGGTTATTTTAATACCAAGCAAATCAGCTTTATGGTTCCATGGTACTTGAGCAGCTAGCACACTGAAGATGTCACTGTGTTTTCAAAAGACTGCTCTTCTGGGTAGCTTGCTGCAACTGGTCTGATCTGCTGATAATGATGCAAGAAGAAGGACCAACTCCAGGAGACTGACAATGTGCRGGAAGCCTCTGTCCCTCCTATCACAGCTGACTGTGGGTGAAGCCTCAGGAGTTATGGTAGGTTGGTGCATACTTCATTTGAAACACCAAATGGTTTTAGAAGAAATGTTGTTGTTGGAACTTCTCCAGTAATAGTTGGGGTCTATTTGTTATCTGTTGAAATGCAAATTTGCTTTTTTTATTCTGGCTTTTAGTMCTGTTTCTAGTCCTTCCAGGTGACATGTACAGCAACATTTGGATGAGCAGAGAGAACGTAGACCCAAAGAGGTGATGTTAGACATAGCTTTTGAAATGGAAATGCCAAAATTAAGAATGGGTTTATATTTGAGATGCCCTGGTAGCAACACAGTATGGAAAAGAACAATCTTGGCTTTATTTCCTGGTCACACAGGTGGGTTTTCTTCATCTTGGTGGTGAACAACAGAACTAGCTACAGGTATGGTAGGGCAGTGTTATTACTATGAATATTTTCTTTACATACTTGCTTCTATTTAGATCGTTCCTTTGGGGTTCATGGGTTTTTCAGGCAAGGCACTATGTTGTATTGGAAGTTTCCTGCTCAGAGATGCTTTATTCTGAGTTTTCCTCAGAAATGTGTCTCTTCTCAGTGAGTAAGGCTGCTGACTTTGATTTGCTGACGCGTTTACCTCATCCCAGGAACAGATTTCAGCTGTATTCAGTCTAGCTGCAAATGAGGCACAGTTTTTAATGAGAGATTTAATTTTAAATAGTTAAACACCAGCAGGGATGTTTGTAAGCATCTACTAGATGGGGAAAGAAATGACAGCACACAGCATTCATGGCTTTATTTTACTTCAGGTATTACAGTGGGCTTTATAGGATTTCTTGCATAGCTTTTTGCAAATCCTGTGTTTTTCTGTGGATAGTGCTATTAAGTATTTTAAGCTTTGTATGTAAGGCTCTTCAGCGGATTTCTACTCGCTGAATTAATTTTTGAGGCTCTGTCCTCATCTGTTTTGAAACCAAACCAAAACAAAAAGCTTCCTTTTTCAGATGAGTAAAATGTATTTTGTAAGGTTAATGAATATACGAAAAGTATGTACCTGTGGAGGGATTCCTTAAGAGAAAAAACAACTCAAGATTGGGAGCACTGAGCCCCGACGTGGTGTTGCAGGACAGGGAACTTGACTGGCAAGATGGAAATGAATAAAGCTACTGGAGCAGGGAAACCAGCCACCAAGGCTATTCCGTTAAGCTCAAATAGGTCCTTTGTGGCATCATACCCTGATCCAAGCCCTGGTTATCTCTGAGCCAGAGGGGCATGTTCAGGAATGAAGAGACTTTCTATAAGGGCTGCAGGAGCCACCAGTTGTCCAAACATCCAGAGGTCCTTCATCCAGAGACAAATTTATTTTGTTCAAGTTGTTAATATGTATGTGCTCTCTCTCTCTCTCTCTCTCCCTATTTAAAAAAAAAAAATAATATTTTTAGCTGCTTTTGGTGTTATAATGGTTTAACATCAGTGAGAAAAATGTGAGGGATGAAGGACTTTGAGTAGCCTTTTAGTAGCCTAATTCTCATCTGTTGGACAGAAGTTRTAGAATTATGGATTAGACTATATGGCTTTCTTTAGAGTTTATTTTATCAGGATTGTGACTGTCCCAGCTATCACAAGAAATATTTTGCTTGAGATTTATATGGAGGCTCTTAAAAGTGATAGTAACTTGCTTAATTAAAACAAGTCAGCTGTGTAATCATATGGGCCTCCTTAGCACAGTGTTTAGCTACATTCCCGACCAAAAGCAGAAGAGTAATGATCTTACTCTCTTGTTTTTTTCTTTATATATTTAGCTGTTTTTACTAAGCTCTGGGTATTCAAAAAACATGGTTTAGTTTTCTTTTTCTTCACCAGTAACCTCTAGGATTTGAGGCAAGATTAGGCATGTTCTTCAGAGAATTGGACCGAGCAATGGACAGAGCTACCTCTAGGGTGCAGTCAAAACAAAGCTGAGCTTAGTGTTAAGCTACGTAGGAGTTTTGGAGGCTAAAAAGGAGATAATAGAGGGTTCAATAGACTCTTCCCTTGTGCCTTTCAGTCTTGTCAAGTAGTTAGATTCATCTTCTGCTGAGTAAATGGTGTTCTTATAAAGTTAATATAATCCTAAATGGGAATAATCAAGTTTCTTTCCTGTGGTATTTCTACCCTTTCATAGCACTTTGACAGTAGCTACCAGGAGGAGGATACAAAGGGATTAGCCCAATCTGCTTCACCAGCTGAAGCTTCCTTGAGAAGTTTCCTTCGAGCACTGTAGTGATTTTAAAAATAAACCTGGAGAGAATTAGACCAAATTTCTTCACATAATATTCTGCACTGAGAAGCCTTTAATTTTGTATCATAATTATTGCAAAGTAGATCAGAGTAGGTGTTATTCCGCATGGAAAAAGTTTTGTACTGTTTTCTTAATCCAAAATAACATTTCTCAAATATTCTAGCTCTGCAGGAAGATTACCTGCAGTGCTTCTGGTGCCCTTATTTCTGCTCTCCTGTGGAACTACAAAAAGTGATATTGAGTAAAATCTTAAATGAWTTGTATTTTATAGCTTGCTGTGTGGAGGTTGCACTCGGAGCAGCCTGAGGCAGCTGGGACTGGAGGGTTCAGTAGGTTGCAGACTGTGCCCTGGGTGACTTCTTGTTCCATCCTTTCCTCTCAGCACTCCCCAAAAATAAAAGTTATTCTTGGTAGGATTGTAGTGTTTTGTCAGTTGGATAGCTGTCTCCTTAGAAAAGTTCTTTCAGTATTTACCTGTTGAGTGTTTGTGGTAATTACCTGCAAATTGCCTTCTGTTGGCATCTAAAACATTCTTTCTCCTAATGGACTTAAGTGACACATCACCATGTCACCAGTTTCTTTGGAAACTAGACAGGAAAAAATTCTCAATTGGCTGGTTAACTAAATTGCAACTCAGCTTTGAAAAAATAATTTGCTTCCCCAGTTAGTTTATAAATGTCAACTATTTATGTAAGGATCTAAATTATAATTTACCCCCATTTACATACATGTGTATGGAATTTGTGTGTAAATACATATATTTAGATTCTTATCAGAAAGCTTTCTTATTGATTCAATTAACACWAATATTTAAACATATATTCTATAAGAAAAACACATTTTATATTGTTTTAAATGTATTTATCGWTTTGGTAGTCTCTTGCCAACATGTGTTTCATAAGCTTTTATTGAGTGTCTTAGCTTCACTGAAATGATTATTAGGAATTTCAGGAAGAGTTTTGCATGTAGTTTTCTACTATATAAGTGCTCGAAAAGTTTCCACCTTGCTTTTCCATCTGCTCTGCACGTTACTTCCAACAGCAAGGGCATAGTACGATTTTTGTGGTTGGAAGGCATGCYATTAATCCATAATTTCATACTGGCATCTCTGTAGAAACGTAAGGTGGACAGATGCAGCGAGCTAGCTGCTTGCACAGCCATGCAGATTTTTCATGAAACAGCAGTCTTTTTATATTGCCGGGTTGTCCAGATGGCTAAGTATATGGTAGAATGGAATTAACGGATGTTGGGGAAATCCACCTCCATGTGGAACAGATAGTAACGCTGGCAACCAGTCAAAACCCCTGCGAAAGGTTGCAGCTGAAGGACAACGCTGCTGGAAACGCGGACGAAGATGTATTCCTGGATGCAAGACGGAAGCAGAGGGTGCATTATTCTATGGAATGATTAGGTGACTGACTAATGAGCCTTGAGGGGCAAGGAAATTGACTACAATAGCAATTAAGCAAGCTCCCGACATTCTAATGTACTCTGTATAAACATTTAAACTCTTCCTGTGTTTAATTTTCTTCATTATATACCATTAAATCTTTATAAATGCACATAAAAGTACTTTAGAGATGTCAGTGTTTATGTTATTTTAATGCTGTTTTTCCCTCAATGCTAAGATTTTTTTGAGAAATTCATGGCAAGGATTAAGTTGGCAACGCAAAACAAGCGGCATTTCGACTAAGCACACGAGACAGACTGCTACAGGGATGAGCCTTGGGTTAAACAGACTGTCGTGCCAAGGGTGGTGGCAAGTGGGTTTCCTTGTCAGAAGGGGTGATAACGCATTGTCATGTCAGCGCTATATTTCGTTGTCCACAGGTTTTGTTCTTTATTTTGTTCTTTATTGGCAAGCCAATGTATTGGTTATTGCAATCACCAACTGTATTGCAACCCAACTTCTGCATTAATCAATCTCTTGTTCGATGCCATGAGGCATCCGCGGCAGTTTTTGGCTCAGGGAATGCTATCTTTGGGTAGGTTGTAGAGGGTTTTTTGGCTTTTTTTTTTTTTTTTTTTGCATAGAGATTGAGACACTCACAATGGTTAAGGTTTTCCATAATGTGGTCCGGCATTCGTGTTAGTTGCCTTAGCCAGAAGGCAGGTGGGTGTAGCTTGAGTAGCAAGCGGCATATTCAGCCTACCTATGATCCTTGGAGAGAAATCGACTGCAAAAGCAGTTAAATGAGCAAGTGACGTTGTGCCAAGTTTAGTTTTATAAACTGACTTCGCTGAGATGGGCTCTTAGATGGAATTGTTTTGCCTTGCTGAAAAATAATCTATGTGATATAAATGGCCCCTAGATAAAATGGGGCTCGGCTCTGCTTTCAGGTTTAGACGGTTAAACTTTGTTATGCCAGTTCATATAAAACGCAGCTTCAGGCAGTGAAGTTCTTGTCCTTGTGTGGTGAGGGAAAGGAGTTTCCTGAGCTCTTGCACTGATGGAGTAGACCTTTTCCTACAGAAAGGGACCACATGTGAGTATTTTGTCTGCATTCCTTTTTTATTTGATTTGATTGGTCCTTTTATCAAGTTCATATGTAGTCCCATTTAGTGGAAGCAACAACTTAAATTTCAGATACAGGCATTTAACTTTAGTGAGAATTTCTGCTGCTGTTCAGAGAGAGGRAAAAAAARAATGGATTCCAAGTGATCATTTAGAAGAGAAACTTGGACTCTTAGGTTCTATTACTCTCCCCAGAGGTATTCTGTTGTTCTGGTAATGCTGGGGAAGTCTGTTGAGGTCAGGTAGTAATT